TAAAGCTATCGTTCATTAAAAGTTATTTTTTTACATATTAAGGCAAAGTAAACTTTTTCATTATTTTGTTAGCTATTTAATTACGATTTAAATGTAAAATTAAAGTAAAAATTCATAAATTACTTTCAAATTATTTCTCATAAAAATAGAAAAAATTTTAAATTTTAAATTGTTGTAAAATGTTGCATTATATCTATTATTGAAAATGGTTGTTATTAATATTTTTTGAATTAATTTTGATTATGTTGCAAAAATTTTTTGTATAAAATTAGTAATAAATATAATAAAAAAACTGTATATTAAAATTTCAAAAAGTTAAAATTGTAATTTTATCGACCGCATTATTTTTATTAATATTTTTTAATTTTGAGAATTTTGCAATAAATTCAAATGCTTTTTATTCTTTTTTAAATCTTTTAACAATAAATAATAATTTGAAAATAATTTGTGAATTTTTACTTTAATTTTACATTTAAATCGTAATTAAATAGCTAACAAAATATTGAAAAAACAAGTTTACTTTGCCTTAATATGTAAAAGAAATAACTTTTTAAATGAACGATAGCTTCATTTATTTATTTAATAATAGTAAAATAATTCCGAAATTGAAATTTTAATTAATATTTCGTTTAACAATAATAAATGAGAGACTAATAGAACTTGAATGAAATAAGTTGTTTATAATTCGAAAAAAATTTTCATTACCTACATGCTGCTATTATTTTAGTCCGTAGAAACCTCCCGGAATTTTCTGACGGACTTTTAGAATACTCTATTCTATAGAATAGAATAGAATAGAATAGAATAGAATAGAATAGAATAGAATAGAATAGAATAGAATAGAATAGAATATATATTTATAATACCTATTTATATTATTATCTTTTTTTGGTCCTTCGAGCCGGATCTTCATTTAATTTTGTCTTCTTTTATAGATAGAGATTTACAGCATATCTAACAAATATAACAAAACTGAATTACTCACGTTGTATCTGATAAGAATGACAACTTTTAGTTACGTCATTACGTGAGAAAAGGGAATATGATGTATGTGATATGACGTCACAAAATAGCTTCCGTTCTTTTTTACCGCGCTCCGTTTTCATTAATTATTTGAGGGAGAAATTGTGAAAAAAAATTCTGATTCATTACGCATCAACTAATTGCGATGTGTACTTTCTGAATATGAATTTAAATAAAAAATGAACTAAATCAGCCCATTATGCACAAACTTGCATCCTCGAGCCGGCCCTGTCGCTGTAACCTCCGAATATCTTAATGTAACATTGTCATTCTTATCCGACATTATTCTTCGTCGAGTTTTTTCCGCTATCGTTGTTTGCTCTCTTCGTCTGGTAAACAACCAAGTTTGTTCACGGTAATATATACGTGCCCTCCTTTATTGTGTTACGGTCCGGGGTCATATTTTGATTATAACGGTTCCCGGCATAAGATAAAGCACAGCGAGCGACGGCGTCCAGGTGGATATCGATCTTCTTCGCGGCTTGCTCGGCGTGCGTTGGAAAAAGGCCGGATCCGGCGATGTCTTGGGCCTCTCTTACGTCCGTCCAATTAGGCGAGTGGATGGGGCGTATAAACTGATTTTCTTTATCCCTTTTATGCGTTATCAATGGCGATTTCAGCGGGATGGTCCTTGAGTGGAGCCGGAGAATTAAGGGAAGCTCGATTTCGTTTGCGAGTGCAACGCATTGAATAATTTTTTTAGATTTCGAGACACTTTTAAAATTTCAGCAGTACGGCCTTTACTTTTTCCATTTACATGTTCAATTAAAACCGTTTTCCTCCATATTTCACAAAAAATATTAATCAAACTCGGTTAAACACACTTCAAAAAAAAACACCGTTCGTGAATATAACAAATCGACACAATTGCGTCTATATATTAGCGTTGTGTTGAGGTTTTTTACCCTCATTTTTCTTTGGAGGAAATGTAACAGTACGCCATTGACTATGCCGAATGTTAATGTCTGCCTTGTGACTCACCTTATGAATTCTAACAAATATGTACACAAAGGAAATGATAATAAAAACAATATTGTCATCAGATATAAATTGTTAACAGTGACTTCCTTTACTTCAAATACAGCAGTCAGATGTTATCGTAGAAAGATCGATCAACAAAAAAATTTGATAAATTATTTTCGATCGGAATGGTGTAATTATTTGTATACACATGTGGACTGAGCATTAATGACACACAAAATAAAATAAGTGGATTGACCTGAACACTCCACTTACTCCAGTCGAATTAGAGTCGTGAACAAATTATTAATAGACATTTTTTTGCACTTTATTACTGGGAAATGTATGTAGAATGATAATATCTAAAAGATCTCGAAAACAGTGACGTGAAGAGACATGGGTGATTTATCTTTTTTTTTAAATTACCATAAAAATAAGCTCTATTTAATGCAAAAAGAGCGAATTCCCGAGCGTCTTTTGTCTGACCCTGGGACAATGGGCTCTTTCAGCGATTTTTTTTTATTTGCTTAACGGAAACATATTGAAATTTTAAGGTTCTCTGCAAAAGATTATATCGCCTACAAGTCATCCAAAAAAAATCATAAACTGGCGCGTTGAGTATCCGCTGAATCCGGCGGGTGTGACGTCACCGCATGGGAAACCGATGCCACATGCTTGCGTGTGTTGTCAGTCAGTCGTGTAGTTGGGTTTTAGTTGCCTGTTAAGTTTCGATTGAGTACGTTAAGGAATTTTGTTAGCAATAAGGAAGACACAGAACAGAAAAAAATTACAAATATTGTTTTGTTTTCCAGTGTGAGAACACTAGTGTGAAGACGCCTAAGAAAATAATAATGTCCTCGTAATTCTGATGTGCAGATCTAAAATTAATAGTCTGTTAGTCTCTACTTTGATTTGTTTTTTTTTATATATTTTTTATTTGAAAAATCACTTATTTTGAAAGCAACAAAACAACCCTGAGTAATTTAGGTATGTAATAAATACGTTTGTATCCTCTAGAAACACTTATACACTTGTGTTTTCCATTGTTGATTTTTTTTGTGAACATTATACAAATACCTACTACAAATACTAAGTATTTATATAAAAATGCATAATAAATATTGTATTATTAATATATTTATAAGATATTAGAGGTTATTTATGTAGTTCCAGAAAGAATAATGGAAGTAGCGCCAAGCCGGTTTTTGATTAAGTAAATCTTTGAAACCTGTGACAGAAACAGTTTCGTCCAATTAAACGCAAAATCTTTATTCTTATTTACTATTCTTATTGTACAAAAACCTCAAAACTTTCGCTACAGACGTACTTTATAGTATTTAAAAATAGTTACTGAGAAGACCGATTTATTGCGCAACATTTTTCGATAAATNCATGTGTGCTAAAAAAGTTATTCGGGGTCAAAAGTCAAAATTTGAGGTTTTTTGGATTTTTTTCGAAAACGGTAAGTTTTATCAAAAAAGTAGCCCTGACAAAAATTATAGATCTTAAAATTATCTACAAAAATGGTCCTTATACTTTTTTTTTCTAAGAATCACCATTCCTGAGATATCGCGATTCTAATAGTTGAAGGAGTCATGTTCTATGATATGCACACATTTCCACACCACCTATGAGGTAGTGTACTTTGACGAGTTTTTTTTTAACGTGCTTTCCCCGGTAGGCCTACTCCACGAACTGTTATGACGGAATTTTCAGGGACAATACTCTTTTAACTGCATGATGATTATTGATATTGGTTATTGACTTTAACTGTAGTTTTGATTTCTTTTGATATTTTAATCTGATTCATACTCTTCAAAGTCGACTGCAACAGTCATGTCTTCTTCGATTTCTTCTTCTTCCTCTTCTTCTTGCTAGATGTTCATAAATTGTTCAAATGAAGATGAATCAGCTGTCTCTTCATCGAAATCATATGAATCTTCGTCTGTTGTATTCAATTGGACATTTGAGCAAGACTGGCTTTGGCAATTAGTACACGCTGGAGAACACAGTATCCCTACTCTTCTACAGCCACATTTAGTACCACAACCTTTTTTGCAATTGCAAAAAATAGTGTTTAGGAGTTTTGCCGGAGCAGGTGGGAGTAAAGTTTGAATCGGTTCCAAAGTATTATCTGATTTCAAACCGCAGTCTTCTGGGTTCAGTTGATTGCCTAGCCATGTCTAAATTTGATACTATACTCGATACAAATGTTGATTAGCAGATGTTGGAGGAAGACAAGATAGTTGTTACCTGTTTCTTGTTTCGTGTATTTTTTACAATAGAATAGCCAGATGTTATTCAAGGCCATGCGGGTAGAGGGGATTGACTAAGGGACTGGGTTACTTTTGAGTATATATTCTCAGAATATACATATAAGAGACACAAATAGGCATTTTTACTTGTATTAAATGCCTGTGCATATTATCATGTAGAACGTGACTCCTTCAACTATTAGAATCGCGATATCTCAGGAATGGTGATTCTTAGAAAAAAAAAGTATATGAACCATTTTTGTAGATAATTTTAAGATCTATAATTTTTGTCAGGGCTACCTGTTTGATAAAACTTACCATTTTCTAAAAAAATCCGAAAAACCTCAAATTTTGACCCCGAATAACTTTTTTAGCACCGTATGTGCTTTAATTTTATTTCTAATGGTGTACCCAAGGTCTCCACCAAAATTTAGCTCTAGATTTTCGTTATTTGACCACAATTTTTATGACTAATTTGACCGGTACATTGCGCCACTGATTTTAACGACAATGCATTTGCCAGACATTTGCATATACAGGAAACCGCAATGCACACACAGCATCTGACATATACCTATTTTTAAACATCACCAGTCAGCACAAACAAACGTATGCGGGTAATCTAATAACTCCCTTATCAAAACCGAACCATTTATTTGTATACAATTTGGTTATTCTCGTAATTATTATCGCGGGGCAGATTACTCACGGCTCTAATTCTATGCCTATAAGAAATTCCCCCAAACAGTCAGTTCTTCGGCGTTGTTTGCGGACTGCATATCTGACCGAGCGCAGAAAAACAACCTCTTATCGAGTTAATGTTATTGTGACCACGTACTGCCTGTCTGTTTAGTCATTTGATGCAAATTTAGAAGCTGGGGTTCGGCAGGTAGGCGCATCCATATCCAAAGCGGTCGAGGGAAAGTGAAACCGTACGGTGCTCGTCAGTTGTGTGCAGGTAATTTTGAATTAGAGCTGACCTTGAACGGAATTGTCGCAATTGCTAATTTTCACGCGGTGTTTTTCTTGTGTAAAAATAGAAGCCGCCGAAATAGCAGTGTTTTTTGGCTGCAATTAATTTGTTGCATTATTTAGAATAAAATATATTTTAGTAAACTCTAGGAAAAGATATAACAAGAATGTGTGAAGTTTGTCTGTGTTTAGGGTATTTTGGATTTGACAATTAAATAAGTATGCAAGTCCTTTAGGAGCAACCAAAAATTATTTTAAAAACAAAGGTATTAAGGTGCTTCAAATAAATTATATATTTTTTAATTTTATCAAATGAGGTCAGTGTTCTTTGAAGCCAAAAATTTAGGAATACAAGCAAGCATCTTACACAGGCAAATAGAAACTTAAAAATAAGGAAGGAAACGACTTGAAAAAACATTTCTGAAATTGCGGAAACAGAAGATCTCGTCTTTTCTGGCTAATTACGTGGACTTTGTCAAAAGTGATGATAAAGCCAGGGTAACGGATATTCCTTGGAATATTTACATTATTCAATGATTCCAATGTCAGCTATATTTTATTTCATTAATAATAGGTATTTAATTAATTACCTAGAGATTAAATTTCTTTAACATACCTCCATATTCGATACCAACCAGCATTATATGACTTCATTTAATAAGAATTTATTTGAATTTGCTTTTAATATACAGGGTGATTCATAAAGATTTCTTATCATTTGAAACCTCCATTGGTGGCATATTTTTCTAAATAAAATAGTACGCCACTGTTTTCCGCTAACAATCATGATATTTTCGGATTCGTCTTTCAATTTTCTACAAATTACCTCTCTCAAAAAACTTAAGAACATTAGTCATCATTTTAAAGCTTTTATTTGAGTAAATACTCAAAAACACCTCCATTTCCATGAACACAGGCCCGACATCTTTTTAGTAACGAAAATGTGATTTGTTCGAAATTTACTGTTGTTTGAGTCTGTTTGAAGCATTATTTATTCTTTCTCCTAACTGCTCACAATGTCAAAGTTGCTATCGCATAAACTATGTAGTTTTAAAAAGCATTATATTCGAATGTCGAAGTGTGTTCTCAGTTTCTCCTTTTGTCCTGGCTGGGCCCCGCCGGCTAGGGCCCTTTCTTCTGGCGCTCTTCTTGCAAAAGGCTACTTAATTGCTGCATACTTATGTAACAAATTTTATGCAAGTTATGTGTGTGAGCATCAATTACAAAAAACATTTTATTAAGGGCAGAAATTTTAAACCTCAAGTACAATATGGAAATAGATGTTGGAAATTTACTGCATTTTATTTACCTAGACATATAATTTTGTGTAAATATGCATGTTATTGTAAAATAATTACATATTTTCTATAATTACAGGTATTATACTACATCCTTGTAAAAATATGTTTGTATGACGTAGATTAAAAAAACATTTAAGTTATAAATTAACGACATTTAAAATATAGTGGTTGTAAGTGATCTTGAATAGAACTACGTAAGCAAAAGTGTTTTTTACTGAAATCGCTTCTAAAAAAATCACAGTAAGCCAACTGCATATATTTTTTTAAAAATGTAGAAGTAATGTGTAACCTTATAAAATCATGTAGTAAAATATTAGGAATTGGCGACCAACATAAATGTTTTAAACGTCATTTAGTGCGATCGATCATCGAGAAGATCAATGACAATGACAGGACGTGTAACGATCCAGTTTTATTTACCAAAACTATCGATAATTTAATTGGTTAATAAGTTTGTTAAATTGCATTAAGTAAAACTTAGTTAATCAGTTTATGGAAACACATATTCCTTTTGAATTTTAAAAATAAAGTAACTGATATGCACTGCAAATAATTATTTTTGCGTTCAAGAAAAAATATTTTTTCGAACTCGAACACTACAATAAAATAAGACGATTGTGTTTATATACAACAATTTAATTTATATTTGAAATCGTTCGAGCCGTATTTGAATCAAGACGGTTTAGCCGCGATGACTATCATAACGATAGCAATCTAATAAACAATAGAAAATTAGTTGTCTGAAAATGTAGTGTCAGAATTATTATATATTGTAATTCATATTCTAAGTGTTTAATTCAAAATGAGCTCGGAAAGTGAAGACGAGCATTTACCAGGGGAAGTATTGGAAGCGGCACAAAGTGCTGTTTCACAATTAATCTCCCAAAAAATCGTCGAGACAGTACGAGATTAGTGGTGTACTTCGAAGAAAATTCAAAAAGTGTCAGAAGCGATACTACTACATATTTCGAACTCTGTTAGCTGACGCAGGGGCCGATATTACCACCGTTAAACGACATGGGGGTGGTGTTCTGTACGGTAGCGGAGACATATATACAAGATAATATACAAAATAAAATTTCAATGGCAAATAAATTGTTACCATCTTCAGAAGAGCCTAACGGAACTTGCCAATAAACCAACTACAGCAGCAGCCTCATTGAACACACAGAACTAAAAGCTACGATAACTGACAGCACTTGATCTGACATAAATTTAACTCATTGGCACTTTCAATTTACATGTAGTGCAAAATAAACTGTAATCGTCCTGTTTATAATAGTTACTGTTTTGTATTGAAATGTTATGTTACTTAAAATAGATATTGTGTAATTAATAAAATCATAAATAAATTTCGAAAAAATAACAAATTATTTTGACATTTGGTTTATGTTCTAGAACGAAAAATACTTTGCCGTTCTAGAACATAAAAATATTTTGCAACTAGGTGACAAGAAAGACTCACTTTTTCAAATGAAAATTTAACGAAAATGTCGACCTTTGATGACAGTTTTCGAAAAACGTATTTTATAACACTGAAAATAGATACTATTAAAAGTTAAACGATTCAAATTGAAGGGATTCTATCAACAGTCAATGATGTGACGGATTCTAGATTTATACATGTATTTTCCTAGAAACAATACTATCCACAGTTTGTTTGACATTCTCACCATGATCGTATAGAATTAACAAATAAAATTATCTTGTAATTGATAAGTTCCCTATTGACATACAGAAAATTAAACAACTTATATACGTGCGCAGCTTTTGATTGCGATAAGGTTGATTGACGACTTCTTGGCTTTTAAACAAGATATTTGTTTTCTTTATTACGAGTTGGAGAACTGAAGTTTTGATTTGAATTTTTATATTTTAATTGACTTTAATTCTTCCTCTTTTAAACTATTAAACTCTTCTTATGTACAGAGTGTTCGCTATCAGCCATGTATATTTGAAAATAAATGTCTGTTACCATTTTTATATTTTTACTCATATTTCTCGTAGAAATCGGTGGTTCATATTTATTTTTCTTTCAAGGAGACATGAGAGCGTGACCCTTTCACACCAACCACTAGGATGTCCTCGAATTTGACCGTCGTAGTGCTGCTGGCGGCCTTGACGTTAGCCTCCCTGGTTTCCTCCAATCACGAGGAGGACTTCGGCTTCGACATATCCGACGACCTGGAGGTGGAGTTGGAAGGGGGCCAGTTGAGGAAGTGGAACGACAGGGAGATCATCGCTCAGGTGGGGAAGACCTTCCACCTGGCGATACCCAAGGATGCGTTCGAGGGGAAGGTAGAAAACTTGGAGGTAGGACTATATAAATACACCTTTAATTTATTTACAAATTAAAATATATTAAAAACATTTTTTACGAGTGGTTTTGAGCAAATCTAAAATCTGTTGTTATTATTCTTGAGCTATATTCTATTCTATTAATTATTGATAGCACTAACAGTCGGCCTAAACCAGAATTATAAACGGTTTTAATATTTTTTGCAGATAGCATAAAATCTGCAGTGACTGCACAGTATTGTACAAGCCAATATTTGTCAATTCGTTGCAAGAAATTGAGCAACAATCTGGTAATTAATAAATACATATATTCATACTAAATATAAACACGCACAATAAAAATTTTCCTGAAATAGTGCATATTTGTCTGGTCATGGGTTATCATTGGAGATAAATACAACTCATTCATTTAAATTATTTTTAAAGTATTCTAGATGAAAATATTACGACGCAAACTTAGACAAACTGGTCTACATATCACATCTTTTTCTAAATTCGCATATGTTGATGTGCCACTCATAACAATTAATCATTAACCTCACAGAATAGCGTCACTCATATTTCGGACTTGACAACTGACAACATCGCTTTGTCTTTCATTGATTGTGTGTCCATAATTTACTTCAGTAGAATTTTAGTAAAACGAAAACGAACTAAAATTTTTTTTAAGAGGCGTTGGCGGCCTTGCTATAGAGAAACGTACATGATTGTTCCGAAAATTCGAAATTTGTTACATAACTAACCTCACTGATAGACCGCGCCATTATTCCATGGCTAGAAATTGGCCTCAATGATTTGGGATCGAGGGGGATTATCCCTCTTTATCCTGCCTCATCTCGTGTAGGCCTGGACAGCCTTCGTAGGTGGGCCCCATCCGTCGTCTACCCCGACCGCAAATGCGGCCGGTGTAGGCGCTTTGTGGGACCTCCTTTTGTCCTGGCTGGGCCCCGCCGGCTAGGGCCCTTTCTTCTGGCGCTCTTCTTGCTTCGCCGGCTCGTCTGTGTAAACCCCGGGGGTAGTGTCATGTTTATGTGTGGTATGGTTGGGTAGGGTAGTGCGGCTATGCAGCCTGGGATGCGCTTTGCTAAGGTGGCCCTTAGGCTAGCGCGGGAGGGGAGGGTTAAGGAGGGTATGGGGGGTGTGTGTGTGTGTGTGTGTGTGTGTCGTTGTCTTCGTTTCTTGATCCTGGCTGTCTCTGAAACAGAAAAGGTTAGCGGGCAGGGGGGGGGTCATTGGGGTGGTCACCCAGGGTCAAAAAGTTGGTGTCTAGGTCTTTTGTGTTTGTCGGTCACGTCGGGTACGTAGTCAACGGCTTGCCTGAGGAGGGGATTGTCATGTCTAGCGGCTACGTCAAATCGTTTCTCCGCGTTTTGTCTTATTGTCTGTGTAGCGTTTGTGTATTGTAAGTCTCGTAATATGTCAGTGTTTCTTACGTACCAGGGCGCGTCGGTGGCCGTGCGGAGGGCTATGTTTTCCACAGCCTGTAATGACTTTAAGTGGCTTTTTGCCGCGTGACCCCACGCCGTGGAGGCGTAGGTTAGCTGCGGTTGAAGTACCACCTTGATAAGCGTTCGCTTATTCCTTAAACTGAGGGTGTTTCCACCTTTGAGTAAGGGATAGAGCCTAGCCCTGGTGGTCTTCGCTCGCGCCACCGTCTCCACGATGTGCGGTTTCCACGTGAGACGCTGGTCCATCGTCACGCCCAGGTATCGTGTTTGTCGATTCCAGGAGATGGGTTCCTGGGATAGTGTCAGTCTGTCGAGGTTTTGTGGGATTTTTCGTTTGGTAAAAAGGATAGCCGAACTTTTGTTGGGATTAATTTTGACTTTCCACCTGTTGCACCAGGTTTCAAGTTGGTCTAAGGAGCTTTGGAGGAGGTAGACGGAATATCTAGGATCTACGGATTGGGATGTGATTGTCAGGTCGTCGGCGTATAAGTATATGTTGGTGTTGGGGGGATGTGGGATGTCGGAGTTGTAAATGGTGTATAGGTGTGGGGACAGGACGGTGCCCTGGGGGACACCGGCCTCCATGGGACGGGTGGTGGAAAGGGAATCTTGGATTTGGATGCGGAATTTTCGGTGGTGTAGGTAGGATTTTATGAGTTTGGTAAAGGATATGGGATATTGGTTGGTGAGCATTTTCATCAGTAGGCCTTCATGCCAAACCGTATCGAAGGCCTTTGCGACGTCCAGGAAGACAGCACCAGTGTACTGTCCCCTGTTGAAGGCCGCCGTGATGTGCTCGGTAAGGCGAAGGATTTGGAGTTCAGTGGAGTGATTGGGTCGGAAGGCGAACTGCTCGTCTGGAATGACTTGCAGTTCTTGGGAGTGGGTTCTTAGACGGGTTAGGATAATTTTTTCTACCACTTTGCTCATAGCCGGGAGCAGGCTAATGGGCCGGTAGTTGGATGGGATGGTGTGATCTTTGTTGGGTTTTGGGATAAGGATTATGTTTGCTGTTTTCCAGCGGGTAGGGAAGTGTCTTAGTCTGAGTGTCGCGTTTGTTATGTTTAGTAGGGCCATGAGGCCCTTGTGTGGTAGTCGTTTAAGTGTCGTGTTATGTATATTGTCGGGTCCGGGGGCTTTTCTGTTTTTAAGTCTGCGTATTGTCAGTCTTAGTTCGTCAGGTGTTGCGGGGGGGATTATGTCATTGTCTGGCTCTCTGTCGACGCGTCGGGCCGCGCGCTCAGCCACTATCTCGAATTCCTCGTCTTCGTCGACTGATAGACCGCACATCAACAGTTGTTGATGTGTATTCAAATACATTCTTCACTAAGGTATGTTCACAGATTTCCCTAGCAGGTTGCCAACTACTCTTAACAAAAATATTTAGTGCGTTTTACTGAAATTCTACTGAAGTTAATCGCGGGACGCACCCTGTATTGGCTGTATTCGGCAGTAGATGGAATCTGGCGTCATTTTTGCACAATTTTTAAATCGAGGTTTAATGATTTTTATATATACAGTTTATGGTTTTTGTATAAAAGAAAAAGAGCTAGTAAAAACTACGTGCTTTATCAAAAAATGGAAAAGCGTCACATTTTGACTACTTAGGTAAATGTGAATTTGTTCTGTTTGCTGTGGAAAGAAAGAAAACCTCCCTGCAGGTAGGGGAATTACTGCAGTTGGCGATACTGACCAGTAGGTACAAAGCAATGCTTTCTGCTAGTAGGCATTGAGTCGCGATGACAATTAAGATCTAAAACACTTTGTAGGTTATATCTCATTCACGAAACTGAAATTTTAATTGGTTCTAACTTCTTCTATTTCCAAACAATATTAATTAACATAAAAGTATTCCTAGCAAGAATGCAAATTTCAAATGGTTTTATACGGACCTAAATTCAATTTGTTTTCAGGTGAAGAGGCATAATGGCAAGGGCATCCCGTCATGGCTCCTATTTGACAGGAAAGGCGGAGTTTTCTGGGGTATACCACTCGCCGAAGATGTAGGCACTGTACACTTAGGCATCAGATCGATAGGGGACAAAAGCGCGACTGAAGAACTGAAAATCGATGTGATCGAATCCAACGAGGACTCATCGACCATGGGGAAGTGTCCAGCCAACGAGGACCACACTGTTTTGACGTTGGTTCTCGACAAAAACATACGTGCCATTAAGCCTAAGCAAAGGATCATAGCCGTGAATAATATAGCCAAGTTCTTCGGCTTGCCATATGTAAGCTTTTCGATAACTTCAATGAACCACATTTTTAAAAACGTTAAATTTTCTTTACAGAGTGCCTTCACATTAAAACCTCAACTGGAGAAAGATGACATTACTGACAGTTCCGTGCTTCTCGCCGGTCCAGGAAATCTGCATTCGAAAACGTCTAAAGTATCCTCACTGGTGCAAGTCCCTGTGGGTTGCGATGGTCGTCTGTGGCCGTCCACCACGCCGTTGGTGCACCAGCTCAAGCAACAAGCTAGGGACGGCACCATAGCGGAAGTACTGCGCCTTCCGCTTATCGGATGGCGAGTAAAGACTGAAAGCAAGCCGGTGCTTAGAGAGAAAAGGCAAGCGAGCTCTACAATAGACGATTATGGTAAGTTTCATATTATTTACAGACAATATACTATAAGGGCATGGTGGAGAAGTTTTAAATAGCGAGTTTGAATCGAAATTTTGTGAATAGAACTGGTATAATAGATAACCGACAAAAAAATTAACGAAATGAATACTGCCCACGTTATAAAGTCTCAAAGCTTTGCGGTCCACGTCATTTATTTGGTCCCTTTAAACAGACCTTGAACATTTTAGAATACATTTTTTTTTAAAACGATTAAAAACAACGCTAAACCACTGGTAGTGACGTCACCAAGGGATGACACGTCAAGCGTGAGGCTTTATATTATATGCGGTAACGAGTTTTCCTCAACTTCGCTTCAGACTTGTTCGATTTTTAGATTTTGGCATTGTATAAAATATAGAGCTTATGTAGTTAGGCACATGAAAACTTGTAGTGTTTGTCTAGATGTATAGAGTTCTTAAATATTAGGTAGTGGAGATTATGATGACGAAGAAGAATATTATGATTACGACGAGGATTACGAAGCGAAGGACAACGGACCGGCACAAGGAACGCCTCCCGCTTCGAAACCGACGGCTGCCCTTCCCGTGAAGACCACCACTAGTACCACAACAGCAGCTCCAAAAACAGAAAGTACATGTCACCATCATTTAATCTACTCTTCAGTAATCGAATTAAGTTTTGCTTTAGTTCGTAGAGTATCGGCAGTCCGTTAGTTGCGACGAGGAAATTAATCTAATTCTATTTGCTGAACTAAGATACTTGTTAAAATTTGCACAAATCAGGTAAAAGTGACGGTTTAAGCAAACGTTTGGAAGAATTCTATAACATTTTGTATCGCACGTAACAAAATGTTAAAAAAAAAACGGGTTTAGAGGAACTATTTTAGATACGGGATATAACGTCGAATGAGAGTCGTTTCTTCCCAAATGCTTTCTATTTTGCCGCCGCACACAGGATAAATCCTAGAAGAGGCGATGAACGAAGTTATCGCTCGAAAAAAAAGAGCCGGTGAGGGTCGCTGTTTTCAAATTTTTTTCATTTACATCAAAATCGTTTGTTCCAGGAACAGTCCAAAGCCAAATTTAAATTTCTTACATATTATTGCTCTTAGCTCTTAGCTCTTAACTTTTTGAAATTTTCTAATTCGATTTCAATGTTCAAAAAACATTAAAAAAATTTTTCTATCAGTTTAATAATAAGATAATTTGAAACGGCCCAAATTCTAATTCCTTGCACACGATCTACTCAGATTGTCCCCGTTCTTTGTCACCAATTAGATTTATGGAAAGTATGATTCGAACTCGGCAATTACTACAAATATTTAAATATTAGGTAGCGGAGATTACGACGGCGAAGACGAGTATGATTACGAAGATTATGAGGAAGCCGACGATTTAGGACCACTGGAAGTGATCCCACCGTCTCCAAAGGCGACCGTAACACTCCCGGCTCCCACCACCACGACCGTCAAAACTACAACAACCGCAAGTACGGTGCATCCGCATCGCCACCACCACGGCGAAGTTAACCCTAGTATATCTGTAAGTACATTTCTCTGCATAGAACTCCGGTAAAGTCGATGGTGACGTCACGCATAAAGATTATAAAAACCATCAAAACTACCTTATATTGACAGATTTCTCAGCTAACAACAAACGAGCATCACTTTCGATCATCCTGGCTCTCTATACATTTTAGTTAAAAGCTATTTTTGCGTCTTGTAGGTGTTGCGGGAACACCACCAAACAACACACCGTATTCCCGAAACGGAGGAAACCATGTCCTTTACGGATCCCCCTTCCACTACCTCTTCCACAACGACAACGGAAAAGGCTACACAACCTTCAACGACTCCCACCACCACCTCCACCACTACAACAACAACCACTGCCCCGACAACGGCGACGGTGGAAGATCCGAAGGTGATATCCAACAAACAGAAGCAAGTCATCGATTACGAAGACTACAATTATGACAACTACGATGATGAAGAGGACAACGCTGAAGATCCGGCAGAAAGCGCAACGATAATACCTGTGTTCTCCAAGAAACACACCACCGAGCCCAAGGTCGAAGTTACGGAAAGCGTTACGACGGAGAGTAGTGCAACGACTAAGAGCACTGTCGGAGAAGCTGTAGAGGAGAATATTCCGATAACAGTACCAGCCACGTCAACTACCACGATGAGCACGACGTCTACTACCACGAGTACGACGACTACAACGGAACAGCCCACGACGTCGCAGATTATTGTGGAGACGGAACCAGAGGTTCGTAATATTTCAACATTTAAATTAATGACTAGAAAGGCAGGCAAACTTCTCTGACGCGGAGTTTGACCTTTCTCTCGGGCCTTCGGCCCCCGAACCGCGCTGCGCACGGCCCGAGCACCGCTCCGCTGTGCTTTCCTCGCTGGTTAGTAGATATAACATTTTTTTAATTTCATAAAAATATTGCAGACTTCAGTACAAAACAATAAGGAAAGTTTCGTTCTGTTCGTCATTTTTATCTGCATCAGTATTGTGGAACATCCAGTATAAAGATTCAAAAAGACATCTGGTTAAAAATTATACAAATTTTAATTAAAAGACGTTAGTAAATAAAGACAAAGTTAAAAGAGAAAAGAAAAAAAATTGCCCGTAATTCGTACCTGGGTCAATTCTGAGGAACATCTAGTATATGAATTTTCAAAAAAATGACTGGTCAGTAAATATACAAGTTTTCTTCAAAAGATTTCAGGAAAAATTAACAAAATTAATCAGAGAAAATCTGGACCTTGTGCCTCTAGACCGATAATTCTGACTTGGGTCAATTATGTAGAACATGCAGTATATGGATATATAGTTACTAACCTTTGGTTAGTAACTATATAATTTTTCATTAAACGATTTTAATAAAAAATTTGGAAAAGTGAAGATAAGTAAAATCAAAGTTCACCTGTGTCATTTTTATGAAACATTCGGTATATACCTTTGCAAAAAGCATATGATTATTATGATATAAGATTTTTCATAAAAATATTGCAATCAATAAACTGAAATATATAGGAGCCTCTGGACCAATTGAGTTTCAACGCAATTTTTTAGACACCCTGTATATAGAAACCTATTTGAAAATTTCTATTTTTTTTTTTTTGTTATAGAAAGGTTTAAAAAGATGAATCCGTAAATTAAATTAAATTATGGCAGTAAGTAAAAAAAATCTAGGTTACCTCGTCTGAGATTGAACCACCGACCTTAGGAATACAAGTAATCAACAATTTTTGTAATGTTAAATTTGCATTTTTCTAACACAAAGTCGTCTCGCAAAAGATCCACAATGAGATAAAACATAAATAACGACATACCATGACTTGAAAGAGTAGTTTAGCCCCAATTTATTTCTATGATTCGAAACTTTTGACCTTTGGAGAGTAAGTAATACGAATGCAATATAGTAACTAACGAAGCAAATGTACTAATACAATGGTTCAAGGGTTTAGGTACTATGGATTGGTTTAAAATTATGCAGTTTTAGAGGGCAAGTACTTACGTTAATTCGGGGGACAGGTATCGTAGGCATGTCAAGCGGTAGAGCTACGAAAGTGTAAATAACAACCTAACATAATAATAAGAAATACCTGCATATGTCGTGGCGTAGCAATGTATTAAGGTTAAAAAAAGACCTAGTAAAATATAATAACGGTTCGCCGCGACCCCGCAGACGTCGTTCGCGTTTGGCGTAAAATTATTTTGACAATTAATCTGACGTTTCTAACGACATTCGAATTTTCTCCGGGTGGGCGTATCCCGAAGCTTCAAGCTTTACGGCTTGTGAAATGGATGTCTGTTGTCGATGAGACCCTGGAAAATGCAAAAATAAGTAGAATACGGGAAAAATACGTTGCAGAAATCTCCAGCCCGGCGAGAGAGTGCATTTTAACGTATTTACGGCCGCATTTCAAATCCCGCATTCGATTTCGCGGAAAGTTCTATAGAAAAAGCTCGAAATAGGCACCCAGTCGATAAATATGAATATTTTCGGCACAGTTTTTAATAAAATTTCATAGAAAATAGGGGAAATAAAAAATAAAAAAGTCGTACCCACCCGCAATTCGAGGCGATCGTCAGATTTCATCGGTAAGGCGTGTCGGACTCGGTCTGCGTGCGTTCCACACGAAAAATAGGCCGCGCCCCCCGAGGGGCTCCGGGAAAACTGGAATTTAGGTAGGAAGGCGCGGAAGAACCTCCACCGAAATACCCCTAAGCAAGACACCGAGGACGACGGGGCCCTCCGGGCCCCCTCGGGTGCCACTGCGCGGCCCGTGGGGAGTACCATCTGTCCGGCAAATCGGCGCTTTTTCGAGGCGAGTGTGCGACGCGGACGGAGCTATCAAATTTTAATATATAAGAAAGAAAGAAAGAAAGAAAGAACGAGATTAAATGTAGGTTCCCAACGATACTTTTCTCATTTCGCTTTTTTTCGTATTTCATATTGTTTCTATGATTTCCCAACGTGTAACTTGACGTAAATAGAACGATAAAACAGATGGATTGTTGTGTAGATCAATGTTGGAGGTTACTAACACTGAGATTAACAGATTAAACACAGTGATTTAAGAAAATAGTAAAAAATTTTATTGAAAACGAAATGATTTTGAAAAATATCTAAAATTTATCGGAATCCGATAAACCTTTTCCAAAGAACAACACACGAGCCTCCACCCAACAATGAATTCATTACAGGCAAAGGTCGTTCAACTCTTAAGCATTTTTAGAGACTAGTATTACGTAATTTGTCTGCTCAATAATTAAGTACAGTTACATGAGCTCCCAGTGCTGATATTACTTTCAAATCCGCAGATCTTTTACACCACGGAAACGGAACCTCCTCAGTCGACGTTCGTCGCCACGATGTCCCAGCAGACGACGCAAACCTCCACCGTCGCCACCGTAGTGACAACACCGCTATCGTCAACGACTACCACCACAACGGAAGCACCCACAACCGAAGAAGAGACCGTACCGGTGAAAGTGACCACCGTTCGGCAGGTTTCGACAACACCAAGCACCACCACGACCGTACGGGAAATTACGGAGGGCATCGAACACCACGAGAACTTCAGGCCGTTCATCGAGAACAGACTGAAGCAGATGTCCGTAATAGCCGGGAAGATCTTCAGATTTGTCATTCCGCACAACACGTTCAAGGACTTTGAGGACGAGTATAATTTGACGTACGAGTTGCTGGACTCGAATAACAAGACCGTCACGAACAACACTTGGCTGAATTTCAACGCTGCGAGGCGGGAAGTTTATGGACTGTAAGTTATTTTTTTTTATAAATAGATAGGGAGTTTTAATAAAATTGTGTACCAGACCTCGGGAGACGCACTGATCAAAATAACAAATGAAGTTTGTATTATAGTACGATGTACATGTAAAATGTTTCTTCAGGGACTGCAGCCCTTTAAGGGGTCGAAAAGCCGTATCCATTCAGAAAGGGTAGATTTTCTAAGGTTAAGGGTTGATTTTCACAAAACTTTCGGTAGTAGAATAAATACGACTGGGAGTTAATTTTTTCTGTACAAAACATTTTATACGGTTTTTATTTCTATTTTTTTTAATAATAAATTATGTTTTAGTGTTTAGTGTTATTTTTAGTTAGTTTGGTTAGTTTTGATTCATTTGTCGTGACAGCATAACAGATGGAGCCATTTGCGCTCCCGCGTACAACTGTCATTAATGTCTGCTGCGTGATCACAAAATATTATCTTGACCAAGCATTTTTTTATATTTATTTTTTAATCGATTATCGATTATCTCAAACCTCCCAAAGTCCGATAAACTACATTTTTGTTACCGAAAAATCCATGTAATGTTCCCCCCAAGCATCTTTTTCAAGAAAAAGAGCTTTGCAGGCCCCTGGAGGAGGACGTTTCCAAGTGGGTGTTCTGGGTGAGGGCGTACGACAGCGAAGGGGCGTCCGAGAAGGAAAAACTGAACATCCAAGTCCAGCAGCACAAGCTGGACCTGGTCGTCAATCACGAGTTCTCCCTACTGATCAGGATCGAGAAGCACCAGGAATTCCCACATTACGTAGATTGGTCCCTCAAGGTGCTGAGGGCCCTGGGCAGGATTTACAACACGAACATGTCCGAGATCACCGTCAGGCATATCAATTATACCAACGAGCCCGTCATTTTCACGTGGTCCAACGATTCGATACCCACGGACTATTGTCCTAAGACTGAAATTGCTCAACTGTATAAGGTTATTCACAATTTTTACTACTTTTTAATCTAATTAAATTGTTTTATGTGTTCGCTGCATGGAAATTGTAATGTGCTGTTCGTTTCGCAGTGTTCCAAAGATATAATCACCCTGCGCACGTGTGTGCATTTAAAATTTCTGTTGTTACAAATGCCTATTTCTAGCTTTGTTTTTCGTCTGAGGCTGACGTCAGTGCTCGTCATAAGCGTATGAGTGAGGAAAACGTATTATTTTCACATTTTAGTTATTCCAATAAATATTGTTAAAAATGGTTCGTATGCGAGTCCACAAGGATCTACATGTCGGGAATGACTTACTGCCTACTTGTTTCGACCTTGAGTTTAGGTTATTTTTCTTCCTGAACAATAAGGTTATGTTAGGTTAGGTTCTCGTTCAGCGCGGTGACCTTGCAGTACATCATGGCTTATTTCTGTGATTTTTCAGACTTTAACGGCCAACGACAGGGGCGACCCATCGAGGGAATTGAACACGGCTCTAGTGCCGGAACTGAGGGTGAAAAAGGTGCTGTATCGGGAGCTGGGGGTGTGCGAACAACCCCAAACCCCCGTCGCGCCGCCGGTGCACCCGGTGACGCCCCCCATTAATTTCTCGCCCATACTACGAAATCCGGTGGACCACGTCAATGCCACCGTTGGTGAATTGTTGGTCTATAAGGTTAAAGATGTGAGTATATAAACGGGTGGTTTTTATTTATTGTTCGTCGCTATTTCTCGTCTCGATCGCTTTCAGGATACCTTCTACGACCCGGAGGACGTAGACCCAAGAATGCTGAACATATCATTACTGACCAGCGACCGGCAACCCATCCCTCCTAACAACTGGCTGCAGTTTGATGGCAAGAACCGCGAGTTCTTCGGCATACCCAGGCACGCCGGCAGGAGCGAGTACCACTTGGTCTGCGTGGACAGCGGTGGATTACCTGCGACTGACAGCTTGGAAGTCGTCGTGTACCCGCCACTGAAAAAGAAGTACAACGTCGAGTTCAGCATGAACATCACGGACGTGGATTTCGTTAGTAACGCCGTCTTGCAGAAGAAGTTTGTCGAGAAATTGGTGGTAAGTGACCGTAAAACTTGGTAGTTTCGAATGAATCGAAAACGAAGCAAATTCTTCTAGCGTTTATTCGGTGAGTCGAGCCCCAACAACATACACATCCACTCCTTCAATCAATCGTACAACTCGACAATCGTAACTTGGTTCAACAAGTCCCTGACCACCGACACCTGCCCACACGAGGAAATCAACCGACTCGAGTCCATGCTCCGCAACATGAACGACAAATCAATCTCCCAGAAGGTGCACAACGTGATGGAGCCCGAATTCCACGTGTCCACCATCAAAGTGCACCTGATAAACAACTGTCAGCCAAAGATAACGCGCGATCCACGTCCCGAGGTGGTCGTGCCCGTGGAAGAGACGCCGCAACCGTCGAGTAGCGACGAATACCTGATAACCTTCATCGTACCTGCTGTGATTATAACGATTATGCTGCTCTTAGCCGCCATAGCCGCATGCGTTCTATACCGAAGGAGGCGGACCGGGAAGATGAACGTGGAGGAGGACGGGAGACAGAGTTACGGAAATAAAGGTGAGTATTATAATGATTTTTTAAACCATTCTCAAGAAAACGTTCGCAGTTATCACCATGGCTTTCATTCACACGAGCTATCACTCGGAGTATTCACTGTGTATGTCGTTCGAAAAGAGTGTTTCTCCGAATTGTTTCCACTGCGATTTTTATTGTTTCGTATATTTCCTCAAAAATTATTACTTTACACGTAAAGTACTCTACAACTTTATTACGAGATGCATCAACTTGCTGTGCAGTATGTTTGGTGTTAGTTGTTGAATCTTCTCAGACCTTGTAGTGTTCTAAATCTCCCAACCTATCCACTTTGATTTTTCAGTCGGTGTCTTATTCTTTGAGTCATTTTATTGTCATAAACAATCCTACAAGCTGCAGTATGAAATTACAAAGAAAACTGCTGGGTATACAATCGTGATGCTGTAACAGCATTTTAGTAACACTCCCTGTAAACTGTTATAGTAAGAGGGCTCTACAGCAAATAGGCAACCAGCAATACATTTTTATAAATGTTAAAACACACTTGTGAAAAATTTTATAATATTCAATTGTACACTAAAAGCTGAAAATCCAACAACAAATTTAGAATTAATTACATTATCACAGTATTGGGCTTCGTTTTTGTCTTTTATCAGAAATTCATGCAATGTCTCATAAAAGTAGTGATAATTTGGATTTTAAACAATAATTTCGGTGTTTCAAATAGTACCTATTTACAGTAATGATGAAATTAAGAGGGTTCTATAGCAAACAGCCAACCAGTAATACGTTTTTATAGATTTCATTTTATTTTTATAGATACAGTTAGTTTAAACATGAATTAATGCACTAATAATAGACTTTCCCCCATTTTAAGGCAGATTTTCTATAAAATGGACTTTGTTTGAAATTCAAATTACTTTTTGTTGTAAAGAAATGTGTAACTTCTAAAGAAGCGGCATCGTAAATTACAAATTTCTTATCACCGAAAAGTTATTTGAGTTTCAAACTAAGTCTATATTATAGAAAATCTGGGTTAGAATGGAGGAAAGTCTGTTATTTGTGCATTAATTCATATTTAGACAAACTGTAATAAAATCTAAAAAAACATATTACTGGTTGGCTATGTGCTATAGAGCCCTCTTAATTTCATCGCTACTGTAAATATGTACTATTTGAAACTCCAAAATTTTGTAACTTATTGTTTAAAATCCAAATTATCACTACTCTTACAAGCTTACGAGACATTGCATGAATTTCCGATAATAGACAAAAACGAAGCCCAATACTGTGATAGTGTAATTCTAACTTTGTTGTTGAATTTTCAGCTTTTACTATATAATTGATTGTAATAAAATTTTTCACAAGTGTGTTTTCGAATACAATTGAATCCCCTTTGGACTGGTGAATGCAGCAAATTGCACTACACAAACTTTTTAACTAGTGATAATATGCGAAATTACTACCCTGTGGCCTACAGGTCCTGTCGTTATGTCTGGCATACTGCTATGCTAAAGATTATTATTATTGGTCAGCAGAATCACTTTCAAAACCGATTTATCTCTGATGATGCTACTGACGGTCAGGGCAGGGGTCAAAACCAAGGTCATCAGTTTACTGCCCATCAAAAATCCTAGTACTATTGTTTTTTCCTGGCGCGATATTCTGCCATTTCAATACTGTTTGGCCATTTTGGAACTTTTTGATATTTGACCTTGATCTTGACCTTCATGGTAATTTTAAGGTCATATCTGAACATATAATTTTCCAATTTCCATTTCTGAGGTCAAAGTTATGGGGTCCCATTTAAAAAATTCTCGTGACCTTGATATGATCTTGAAGGTCATGGTCCAGATCAAATTTAAGGTCACCATCGAAAAATCCTAAACCCTTAGTGCTTCCTTTACTCTGCCCCTTGAATATTCTCAAATATCCTGTCATTCCGGTACTTTTGGTCCACCCTGTATATTGCTTGATGTCTGCAATCCACATAGTAGGTGTTTGCCACAATATCATCTGCGGATCTAAAATTTCTGAAAAAAAAATTGCTGGTGTGGTTTTTGAATAAGTATACAGGGTATAAGAATGCCATTACCTGAGCATGAGACAACAGCGCTTAACCCAAAACTACACAGCTGGTGCATACCACGTGTGCACGTGGCAGACTTGTCCTACGGAAAAAATGTAAAAATGAAAATGAAACATTTAGTAAATTTCAAGACAATTGTTTTCCAGTCTTTAAAAAAATAAAATAAAATGTATCGATTTTGTAGTACGAAGATAGTGTTGTGCTTTTTAGAATTAAGCATAATGAAGTTGAAAAAAGGGATAAACATTGTATTTTATGGTATTCTATGCACGCAATTATGACAATATTCCTTAATTAATCAAACTTTTGTTGGAGATTTTGATAATTTTTTTCTCGGAAATGGTTGAGTTTAGGCACCATGTCATATAATGTTTTTTTGTTTATTTTAATATATTCTATCGTCTTTTAAAATTAAGGCAGTCAAACTACTAACACCTTGTATAAAAAAAGGTATATTCCTTTGAAATAAGGCTTAATAATTCCCGTTTCCAGGTATTCCGGTGATTTTCCAAGAGGAGCTGGAGGAGAAGCCGGAGCCCGGCACGAAGGCGCCCGTGATCCTGAAAGACGAGAAGCCCCCGTTGGCCCCGCCCGAGTACAGCAAGAGTGGTTCGGTGAAGCTGTCGGACGATTCCGAACCGTACCAGCCCCCGCCGCCGTTCACGAGGACCCAGGACAACGGAAGGCAGCCCAGACCAAAACCCACCCCGACATACAGGAAACCACCCCCCTACGTGCCTCCTTAACAATTGCACTTCACCTTTTTTCAGCAATAATTTTCGGAAGAACTGCCAATGCACACTCTGAGGTCTCTTAATATTGATTTTAAATAATTTAGGTGATAGCCAGGAATTTTAGCGGAACAGCGAGCAAACCTCTGCGTTCCGGGCCAGCGTCTCGATGCCAAATTACGTCACCCACTTTTCGGTTTCCTACCAAAAATGCTTCACTCTTTCGATTCTCTAACGTCTCGTCTCTTCCTCTGTGATATCCACTGCTATTATTTATTACGGTCTTTTTTTATTTTTATATACTCTTGATTTTGCCGTGGGTGTTTTTTTTATTATTATAATTAGTTTTACGAACTAACATCACCGATATTAAAGCTGACGCCTCGAAACGAAACACCTTTGGGTTCTTTTTAATGAAATTATTCTCGGCGGGCATTGAATGATATATTTTTACTGCCGCCAAGGCACCTCTAGCTCTTAAGGAACTCTAGTTATACATATGTTAATTTGTATGAATAGTATGCAGGATATTAATAAAAAAAAATGGATTAACATAGACTTAGGAATAAATAAGGCTGTTTTTTTGCTGCGCCGGTTTAATTCGTGAACAAAACCTCTGCCGCACAGTCCGCGTAGAGTAGAGTTTGTTTGGCCCTTCCCGTTATATAATTATTTTTGTACCGTTTCCGTTTGTTCGTGGATTAAACCAAAAATTTTACAACACTTTTTGTATAAACGATTGTTTTATAAATATATTCTATGTAGGCGTATTCTTTTGTAATTAGTTACCAATGACATTGTAAAAATAATATTTTTGGTATATTTTACAAGTTTCGAAATATTTAATTCATATCATTATCGATAAGGTCAAGGCGTAATATCCACTTTGTCTTATTATACTTTAAAATGAATGAATCATATCCGAATCTCATATTTGTCTCCCTCATATCGTATACTTTTGTATTAACCAGTCATATAATTGTTCAATAAACGATAATAATTCCTTGCGTTGCTTCTTTTCAGGGTCACTAAACTTTGTCGTTGAAACTATACGAAACTCGTATGAACTTGCCAAAAGTTTAAGTATACCGGGTCTACCATTTTAAAAAATACACGTGACTATCTCTGAAGTTAAGGGCTTAATGAAAAAATTCTGAAAAATGAAATGAAAATCTAATGATGACCTTGACCACGACCTTCAAGGTCAAGTTGATTTTGTCAAATAGAAACATATTTTTGACACCAGAAATGAAAAGAGCAGAAAATTGTACATCCGACTATGACCTTGCTCATGCCCTTCAAGGTCATTTTAGTTTTTGTGGCAAAATTCTACTTTTGAAACCAAAAATGAGAAGAGCGGGCCAATTCACGTCCATCTATGACATTGACCTTGACTTTAACCTTCACGGTCATTTCAAGGTCAACTTAATTTTTCAAATAGAAACCGGGATCTTTCAGACCGAAATAGAAAATGCAGAGAATTTTGCTTCCGGATATAACCTTGATCATGACCTTAAATTTCAAGTCCTTTCAAGGTCATTCTAGTATTTTGCAGACAAATCTTTAATCTTGTTCATATTTCCAGAATACCCATTAACCCTTTGCGGCATGCATTTTTTATTCAAATGTTTTTGAACTCTGACTAGCTCAGAATTTAGTAATAGTTAAATCTGATACGGCGGGTCCGATATGTCGAATACTCGGCTCGACCTTGAGTTTTAACGTAGGTTGAAGCATTTTCAAAGTGTTAATCCATATGAATATTAAAATTGGTCGGCCATATTGGATTTGAATATTTTCAAATTCTGACTTCATATTCGCGGCCAGCGCCTTCGAAAACCCTCGAGTACACTACTCGGCAAGACGGAAATGAACTTTGCAACCAAAAACTAAAATGACCTTCAAATGCCCTTGAAGGTCAAGGTCATAATCGGATGTAAAATTTTCTGTTCCTTTCATTTCTGGTGTCAAAAATGTGTTTCCATTTGAAAAAATCAACTTGACCTTGAAGGTCATGGTCAAGGCCATTATTAGATGTCCCCCTCAAAACCCTACAACTTTTATTTGAAAAATTTTTTCATTAGGCCCTTAACTTAAGAGATATTCACGAGTATTTTTTAAAATGGGACATCTGGTATAACGATCGTTATATTCAGCCGACAAAATTGAAGAGTAATGGCCGATTTTTCGGTTACGAGCCATAAATTTTCTGAATATACATTTATCTCACTTCTATTTGTTAAAAAAATTTAGATTTGTTTAAAAAAAAGGTACATTTTTCCTCAACCTTCTAAAGATTTTGCAGTTGTAATACAAAAATTATATTTTTTAAACAGAATACTCTTATTTTTAAATTTTTCAAATCTGAGTAAAATATCCCTTCAAACAATGTGCATGTATATATAAAGTGTCTCTAAAGGGTCTGTACAACTCTCCACCAGATATAGTACGGATCAAAATAAGCCGTTTTAACAAAACTAGCCTTGATCGAAAAATTGATAATGGAGCTACAGGGTGTCAAAGCTGAAAAAATAAAAAACGTTTTCTTGGATGAAAAATTATACAGATCTTTTAGAGACATCCTGTATATGTAAAATATTTTTTTCAAGATATTAACATCAAAATTTATTTTCTTCTATTTCAACTGTTTTATAATGGCTTGCTGTGTGGTTTTTTCCCATTAACTGATACAATCAACGTCAACATATTTAATTGTCAAGAGATATAATTACAAAAAACCTAATATACAAAAACCCACAAATTTTTCACAAATAAAAAAGCATATAGAGAGTTTCTCTATATATTTTTATATTATATGTTATATATGTTATTATTGAAATCTTTCTCACTTTTTAAATTCTTCTCGTAAATGGAGCCCTTCTTAGTTTATAAGATCTTTGGTCGGCACAAATCTAGAATCACGGATTAGTGAAAGTTTTTATAGATCGATAACTCGCTATTCCCGTTAATTCACGTTATAGCAGCGCCTCTCTTGAGGCGTTCCAGTTCTATAAAGGAACGAACTTCGTTAATACTGTACTTTAAAATTCATTTTATTTTTATTTTAAACCATACAAATTGTTCCAATTCATAAATGTACAATCCATTAATATAATAAATAAAAAACAAATAATATTAATTCAATATTAAAATACAGTAGTTACAGTTCTAATACTATAATTTACGTGTATACGGCGCAAAGTTAATTTTGAATCCTGCACATTTGTGCACAATCTCCATATTGAATATGAATTTATGGTAGGTTGTTTTCTATGATATGAGCTAGGAAAAAGAGGGATAATCCCCCTCGATCCCAAATCATTGAGGCCAATTTCTAACCATGAAATAATGGCGCGCGGGCGACTCATACTGCAAGGTAAAACTCTTACAGTCAGTATAAGTGACTGCCTAATGTACTCTAAACAACTCCATAACCTAAAAATAACCACCAACGACCGCGCCATTATTCTATGGCTAGAAATTGGCCTCAATGATTTGGGATCGAGGGGGATTATCCCTCTTTATCCTGCCTCATCTCGTGTAGGCCTGGACAGCCTTCGTAGGTGGGCCCCATCCGTCGTCTACCCCGACCGCAAATGCGGCCGGTGTAGGCGCTTTGTGGGACCTCCTTTTGTCCTGGCTGGGCCCCGCCGGCTAGGGCCCTTTCTTCTGGCGCTCTTCTTGCTTCGCCGGCTCGTCTGTGTAAACCCCGGGGGTAGTGTCATGTTTATGTGTGGTATGGTTGGGTAGGGTAGTGCGGCTATGCAGCCTGGGATGCGCTTTGCTAAGG